AGTTCTCTCATCAAGGCAAGGCATGTTGCCTAAGAGACAAATGATTCAGCAATCAGTTCTAAGATCAATGCTCTTTCAATAGGACTTCTTAAATCCAACAATTGCATAAATCACATTCAAAGGGTTTAAAGGAGAGAACACATACAGACAAATCCTTTTTTATAATCTCTGTGTGTGAACTGTATGTGTTGGCTGTATGCACACACATGTACAGCCAAGAGTGCACAGGTTGGCCAGGAGAAAAGGTTGGGTGTCCTGATTGGTCACCGCTTTGTCACTTCCTTGAGATAGAGTATGCCACTGAACCTGGCCTACACTGGTGGACAGCAAGCCCTAACAATTCTCTACCTTGGCAGCCAAAAACACTTGGGATTATAGGCATTTATAGCTACTTGTAGTTGCTTTGCCTATATCCTTGGGATTTGAACTCAGGTCCTGATGTTTGTGTAGCAAGCACTCTGACCTGCTGAACCATTTACCTAGCCCCTCCGGTAAAGTCTTTTTTGTTTGATTGTTTTGTTTTTCTGGACAGGGTTTCTCTGTGTGACAGTCCTGGCTGTCCTGAAACTTACTTTGTAGACTAGGCTGGCCTCAAACTCACAGAGATCCGTCTGCCTCTGCATTTCCAAGTGCTGGGATTAATGGTGTGAGCCACCACTGCCCGGCTTTGAGTAAAGTCTTATGAAATCTTTTTTAAAGTTTTATAGATGCCTAGAAACAGAAAATAAAGCAAGAGAGGGGTGATGGAGGAGGGAAAAGAGAATGTTCAGGAGTGATGGGGTCACTATTTGCATATTCCTATCTCAGCCACTCAGAGTAGCTTCGCTCCCTCGTTCTAAGATGCAGTGGGAGATGGCCCGGGAAATGCAGCAGTGAGAAAATAGACCACCTCTACAATTGATGTAGCATAAATAACATTTAATAAATGTAGAAAGTGTGTCAGCTAACAAGATGTGGCCTTCTGGAAACTCCCAGCTAGTGTTGTTAGCACAGGAGCCAGTGAGAGCTAACCAAAGACATTTGGAGCATTTGTTTTGGCCTGGGTACCAGATTCAGATGAGGTCAGTGCCCTGCTGCAGTGGCGATTGGAAAGGAAAGGAAATGGGATGCTCTTCGATTGAACACTGTGGGAAAGATTAGACACCTCGACTAGACTGCTCTTCTCCCATCCACCCCTCTCTCTCTCTCTGCTCACACTCTGAATTTCCATGCTAATTAAAATTGTGAACTCTCTCCAGTGGGAAAATGAAGGAGCGATGCTTAGGCTCCTAGGGAATATTCTGCATAAGCAGGCATCGCTTGTGACAAGATGATGTTGGAGTAAGTTTGAAACAGTAAATAGTACACTTAGCATTGACAGGGCTGTAAGCAGACACACAACACCCCTGAAACACACCAATCCTCTAAGAGTTTCTGGGATTCCTAAAAACCAACGCCAGGCCTTTCGTTTTTGAGACACGGTTTCTCTGTGTACCCTCGGCTGTCCTGGAACTCACTCTGTAGACCAGGCTGGCTTCGAACTCACGGAGATCTGCCTGCCTCTGCCTCAAGTGTTGTGAGTAAAGGCATGCGTCACCATTGCCTCATTGAGAAAGGAAAAGTCTAGATATTTAGAGATGCTAACTGAAACACTGGTTCTAACAGTAAAAACTAGAAGTTACCTAATGTGTCCCATAGTAGAAACATGGGTCTATAATGATGATAGGCATCTATTAAAGTCAGGGAAATATTTGAAAAGCAAGATAATTTTTATGGGGGAAGGAATTAGAGCAAGGGTACACAAATCAAATGCTTGAGCCAAAAGCAAAGACTTAATTTAGCAGTATTACTCGGCTTCCTTTCTCTAAAGAGTTATCTCTGTTGGTGCTTCGCTTCTCGTGTTCAGCAATTCAGTTCAACTTCTTCAATGATCACAGGGATCATACTTAATGACCTTACTCAGTATTCTGAAGTGATTTCAGCATCTAAGTGGGCTATGTCGGGACAGGGCACTTACGTAGGTATTGCTCTTGTAGGTTTCCGGTTTTTGTCTGTCTTTTCAACACGCTCTTAGGAAAGTGATGAGTATTAGTGGTAAGATCTGGCAAGAACTTTGCAATTTGAGGCTTTCTGGCCAAGCGTTGACCTTGATGAAAGCAATCAGGTCTCTTCCTTCATTGAGGTTCAAAACAAAACTGTCCACCTCCTCATTCTAAAAGAGCTAAGCCGCAAGCCGCAGGACCATTGCTTCAGTTCTTTCCTATTGATAAGTGGCACAAGGTCTTATTCAGGCCTGGAAGTAGAACCAGACACCTTTGGATGTAAAGAAACAGGGACAGAGAGGAACTCAGCAGAAAATGATCACGGAGAAGTTGGCTCATTCTTTTTAAGTTGGGTGTAATCTCTATGGCTTCCATTAGAATGCTGGACACGACGTCCACCCACGGCTAAGTCCAGGCTGGGTCTGGACTTATTTATAGCTGGGAAAGAGTGGGGGGAAGGAGATTATCTGGATAGAACAGAAGCCCGTATTGCTGGGTCAGTTGAAGGTTTGAAAGCCGTTTGTAAAGCTTATAGCAGGCACTGGTCTCAGCAGGATAGCCACATCCCCGTCCTAGGTAGAAAGCTGGTTTTCCCTTTGTCAGGAGCTCACCCCGTGCATGAAGTCAGTGTGTACACCCTGCTGGTCACCAGCAAGTCCCCGAAGAGGGGTGTGTTGTGGAAGGCACACGGGCTTTGAAGGTCGAAAGGGTTACCTTCCAGACCTGACGCTGCTACTCATTGGGCATAGGCTATAGAGAAGCTGCTCTCTGAGCCTAAATTTCATCCCTTGAGCAAACAACCAAAGGGAGACCCTTATCTGACTGAGTAGATATTACAACTTTCATGGAGCTTCTACTATGGGGGTAGAAAAAGGGTAACTCACGATGTGTCCAGTGCTATCTAGTATGTAAAAAGAGAAGCATTAAGGGTAAGGGGAGGGTCATTGGGACGATACCATGAATGACATGGACAGACATGCTACCTTATCTGAAACAGGTGACATTTGAGCAGAGACTAGAAGTCACTGAGAAACAAACCTTTATGTGAAGAAAGCATTTCCACAGAGGGAGCTGCAGATAGAAAGCACCTGACCTGAGGGTGTGTTTGGCATGTGTGAGGGACACTGTCCAGATGGTGCTCTACAGGAAAGGGAGAAAATGGGATGGGCAAAGCAGCTGGGGTTCAAGTTAAAAGAGAACAGGGGGAAATGTTTATCACTCTATGAAATGAAAACTGTCAGCTAGCTCTTGCCGTGTAACAAATAATCCTGAGATTCAATAGTTTAAAATCACAGACCCATATATCATTCGTTGTAGTTCCATGAGTTAAGTGTGGAGTTTCCTTTCCTTTGGGTCATCTTAGCTGGCATAAAAGGCTGTAGCCAGGCTGTGAGTAACTGAAAAGCAATGGTATTTGACTCGACCCACCTGGAGGCAGAGGCCCAGAAACCTGCGCTAATGGCTGGCTTGAAGCTGTCATTCCAGGAAGAGGAACGGTGAAATATGTCCATAGCTACCCTCAGCGTCTTCATCTTTAATGCCTGGGACTCTTCTGCATCTTAGTGACCATAAACTTTGAGTTTCAGGATTCTCATACGGGTTAATAAACCATAGGACTCAGGAGCTTACTAACTAACTGAAAAGTCGTCTCCATGTTCTTCCCTTGCTGGGAGACCACGACGTTAGTGGAGAGGGTGAGTGTTCCCAAGGGTCCCAGGAACCATTCCTTGAAGATGGAGATAGCCATCTCTAAGTATCGGGAGTTAATGTAACGACAGTAAAATCACACGATACTCACTTTTCTTCTCTCTCTTTCTCTCACAGAAAATATGATGCTGGCATGCTTATCCCATGAGACAACTCGGCCCACAGAGCACAAAAACTAAACCCACACTCAGAGAAGAACCAAGAAGGGTGTTTTTCCCGGCGTCCACAAGAAGCGCTTTATTTTTCCTCTAGATTTCTTTTCTAAAAAAAAAAAAAAATGAAAACAAAAAAACAAAACAGAACAAAAAGGACTGAGATGAACATTCAAACAAACGATCCACACTTCAGGTGACCATAGTCAAGCATGTTCTTTTATTAAGCATAGGATGGATGGGAGGAACCAAGGGAAGCTGAAGCTAGCCGCTGATTCAAGAGGACTGAGAGGCCCTGACACCCCCTCAGGGAGTTGTCCTTGGAACTGTGAGTAAAGAAATGAGGGAACTACTTCCTATTTCCCACCTCAAGAATATCCCCTGTGTCTTAAGGAAACCTTGCTTCCTTCCTTGTCCACCTGTGTATCTAGGGAATGATTTGCAAAAATGTATTTGTTATAATCACTAAAAAAAAAATGCTTGCATAGCTTTGGCAAGGAAGACAGCAAAAGGTGCTCTTGGGACCCACCAGCTCAGCACACCGGCTCTGCTCCCCTCTGGTGGCGCCAGCACATTGGTTCTGTTGGGACACGGTTTGGAGTTTCTCTCACAGTTGCCAAGCCTGGTCAGACTGGGTAGGGAAGTATGAAACGTTGGCCTCCAGGACTGAGCTCAGCATGGAGAGGTGAACACGTTCTTTTTCTTCCCTCAATAGGGGAAAGCCAGCCTTGTGTGGCAGTGGTGGCCGGGGGGGTGGGGTGTGCTTGGGTGGGTCAAGGGGACATTAGGTTATTCCAAAGGTAGCAGAGAATCACTGGGTTTCGACAATGAGCAAAGGAACCTACATGTTAACCATGCTTCCGATTTCAAGGAGGCCACCACCAGAAAAGCAAGCAGATCCATGACTAAACCCTGACCTACAAAAGGGACTTTATCCCTTGAAAGGCCCTGCTTCCCACTGACACTGAACTTTTCCCATTGGTTATAGCTGTTCTTATTTCTTTTACTCTCATGGCTCTGCACTGGAGGGTGAGGGGCTCCCCTAGATGATGGGCTGAAAGTTATGAGGGGCAGAGCAGGGGGTAGGGAGGTTGCCCAAAATTATGGGGCTCTGATTAGCTTAGCTGAATGGACTGCCCAGTCGGTCCTGGATGAGCCTCTCACTGAGTTCCCACAGGGCCCGGGCTGTCTCTTCGCTCTGAGCCTCTTCAGATGGCAGGCAACGGCAGCAGTTGTTGAAATACATCCCTCCGAGGCCTTCCAGCTCGGGCGCGACTGCACAGTAGACAGTGGTAGCAGCTCCCTGTTGCTGAAAGACAGAAAAGAGAAACACTTGTTTTTAAAATCAATGTTAGGGTATGATATGAGCCATTCTGGCTCTCTAGAGAGTAGCGAGCCGTTCTCCACTGGGACATCAGCATGGCAAAGGGCCCAACTCTAAGCATAGGACTGCAAAGTATGGTGTGTGATTGATAGCCTTGGACAAACAAGTCTGTAAACTCTGCTTATAAAGCTAGTGTGACTTCTCACACATCGTAGAGGAAAAGGCATGGTAAATAAAGACACATTTCAATCTCTCATGCCAGATGCCATTTCGGCACAGAGAAAAAGATGCTGTCCTTCCCAACAGGCAAGAACAGATCCATCCAACCCTTTGACTTCTTCATGTGCAACGTAATTTGACACCCGAGAACTTTCTAGAACCTTCTTCCCAAAAGCAACCAACCACTCTTGATGATACCCCATCAAATGGGTGTCTCAAGTGAGGCTGGTGATAGATTGCCCCATATTCTTTGCCCAGGATGCTCTTAAAAGGGTAGGGTGAGTTTACAACACTGTTGCAATGTTTAATACACACACACACAGTCTCACACATCCCTACAGTGATGTGTTTATTCACCCAGAAAACACTTTTCTAAATGTCATATCTGTTCTGATTTACAAGATATGATCTAAGGTGGGAGGCACATTTCCTTCAGCCCATTTCAAATTCAAGTTTCTGTGAACACCAGCGATCATTTTTCTGGTCTCCTCTGGAGTCACAGTTGGGGCAGTAGCTAGGGGCGTGCTCACTGATGGGGCACCATGTCATCCCAACTGACAGAATATTGCCAGAGATGCCATAAAGAGGGCAAGAGCTCACTTTGCTTTGTAAGCCATAATTAAAAGTAATAGGCTTCTGTTCGGAAGGAGGCATGGTGAGCAGGGCTCTAATTTAAAAGCAGTACCGTTTATCTGCCGTCCTGTGATCATTTATGTGGAGAACAGCTCTTGACGCATCAACTCGCTATCAGCTGATGGGGAACAGGGTTACAAACAAGGACCGGACGCTTGCCACAGATGTCACACTTTAGGGAAAACATTAGGGATGTTTGCTGGTAAGAGAGATGGCTTTCTGTCCCCATGCAAACGTAACCATTTTTTCCTGCCCCTACAGGGTTGAAATTGTGTTAGATCAGAGTGTCCGTGGACAAACATCCCCATAAATGACTAGAATCATCGGAGCCAGAGTCCTGGGGGACTGTAATTTCAGCAAAATTCCATTTGGGTTTCACTTGGGACTGGTTTCTGGGTCAGGGTCGGTGGCCATATATGCCTTGGTCAAATGTAGCCACGTGGCCTGACCGTGGGAGAGGCGGAGAGGAGTGTGTGGAACAGATTTGATATTTGATCATATCTGGCTGCTTGAGCCCCCTGGCCGGGTTCCACCGGTCCAGGATTTGAACATCTGGCCTGTGACTGGAGCTTAACTGAATAGCAAACGGTTAGTGACTTCCAGAAGTCCCTCAACATGCTCCTCCAGCGCCCCCCTCCCGCACAAACAGTGATTACTTTGGATTCAGAGATCTCTTTGTCAGTTGCTCTCTTTTACTGACTTGCTACTAGTCTTCACCTTTCGCTGAGCACCAGGTGTGTTTATCTAAACCCCTGCCAAGGGGTTGTGGGATTCCTCCACATCCCTTAAGGAGGAAGAGGGCAAAGTGCCTCTGACGGATAAGCAGAACTCAAGGACGACCCCTCAGCTAACTCAAGCCAAACAGCAACTTGCCCTCTGCTCTCTGCCGAGTCCAGGTGGAGACAGAGCTTTGGATAAACTCTGGGCCATTTCTCTTGGATTCTCCAGCCAAGAATGATCAGGTGACTTGCCATAGACTTCTACGTGGTGACTGAGAGAATCTAGTCCCTTCACCTCCAAATCCTCCCCTTCTCCTCTTCCCCGAGCCCTAGCTGATTCCCCTATCAGACAGTGCTTCTAATCTCACAACAGACTGTCCGATCCTGAGATAGGACCCAGGGAAGCCACCGAGGAAACTGGCCATCAGAGTTCTTTGGAACCTAATGTAGCAAACTGCCAGTGTCCTTCTAGCGCCATGTGGCTGCGTGCTTGCACTGCTGAAACGATGAAGGAATTCTAAAGTCACCCCAATCTAGAGTCATGCTCACTGCGAGAGAAGGTGTGCCTTCCATCAATGGAAACTTCAAATGATGGCAGCTTAGCTGCTTTCACGGAAGTGTGCCTTTGGTGGCTGTGCTGAAAGGCAGGCAGCTTTAAAAGCCCAGTGATGCACGCATGCTCACATCAATTCCTTGCCATTGGCCTTAGGGTCACTTACAACACAAATTCTACTGCCAGTGCCCCCAGCTTTATAAAAGAACACAAAACGGGGTACAAAGGCCACCTTTGCTACCCCAAAGACTGACTGTGTCTTTTTGGCAAAGCCTCCCAGCCTGAGCCACGCGTGCTTCCCCGGGCTCTTGCTTTATCTTCTCTTCAGGACAGACAATTAAGTGTTGACAATATCTTGTTGGTTCCATTCCCACTGCCTTGTGGGCTTTTTGGAGAACTTTCTTTTCAGCTCCTCCAGTGGCAACCCTTGAGTGATATCTTTATACCATACGATGTGGAGACAGTATAAAAGACAAGTTCCCACTTTGGGCTCATCAGCTTCTTGGTCTGCATCCCATCAGCCTGAGACGCAGCGGCATTAGTGAGAGCTGATTAGTAAACAAGCATGTACCGCTGGTAGGAGACGAAACACTTTCAAACTGGTAAGAAAGGGTTTTTTGTTTTTATTTTTGAGCCCTTTAATCACCATGAAAAATTATTTTCGTGCCACTTTGGGGGCATCAGTACCTAAGTCAGACGAGATGAAAGAGGCATATAAAGGAAACAAGGTTAGCGCTGGTGAAATATTTGAAGGTATGACTTGCCATTTGTCAACATTGCTTTACTGATCCATGGTGATAAAATAACAACCCCTTGACATCAGAGTACTGGCTGGAACTGTGGTTCTCTCCCAGATGGTTTTTGTTTGTTTCCTTCAGAACAATTTGTCCGGTTGCGTAGACGTCGCTCATCACAAGAAGCTGGGGAAGTAACACCTCAATGCCATTGGGCTAATGTGTTGACGACCCAGGACTGAGAGTTTCTGGCAAGCCCAGGAAAATCTCTAACCATACTTTTATGCTATCTGGGTTCTACTCAAACATTTGTGAGTGGCCAGAGTTCAACTGTGACCTCAGCCATTACTATGTATGTAAAATCGCCCAGGGTTTTTGTTTGTAGCTTAAGCTGAGAACATCTTGGTAATAGAAGTTCATCATTTTCCCAAAGAAATCATCTTCCAGGTTTGCAATCCCGTCTTCTGCCTCAGAAAGCTGGGATGCTGATGGGTGGCTGTTGATAGTTGAGACCCTGAGATTCAAAGGACCTGGCCTTCCAAAATCCTTTGTGGGGATGAAAACGTTAAATATCTATCTGCCTTCCATCAGCATTCATTTGATAACCGCTGGCCAGCAATTTGTAGCCGTCAGCACAAGTTACAAATGAATATTGAGTCCTTTGAGGAAAAAGGTACCGAGGATTCTGATAAACACATGGTTTGAAACAACAAAACAAAACCACATATTGATAGCGGCGATGCATTACTTAGTCCTGTGATAAAATACTCATGTTCTGATAAGAACACATGTTACACAATTAATTTAGCTTTCGGGTGACTCTACTTTAATATGCATGCTTATTTCAAAGGAAGAATAGATTCCCCATCTTAAAGTAGATGCAACAACGCATTTTAAAATACACACGATATCATGGCCCATCTATATTCAAAGACTTGAAAGAGCGGTAGATGTTGGAAGATTGCTTTATTACAGACATATCCACACCAGGACATTGCACAGCAATGCTGATTTAATCAATTTATGCAAAAAAAAAAATAGATTCAGAAATGGGAACACGCCACGCAAGCTAGATTAGGCCTGGAGCCTCAAGGGAAGGAAGGCAGGTAGTGACTGACTACAGAGATGGGTTAAAAGTGGCGCAAGCGCAGTGAGTGTTGGGCAAAGGGGAAAGGCAGGTGCATCTTCAGACCCCCCAAAGCTTTCATTGCTACTCATCTGGGGTCTCGTAGGCAGAGAATATACTTCCCAAACATGCACAGGTGCTATAGATAGACCACACTGAGTGGAACAATCAGTCCCAGAGCCGGGGCAGAGACTAGCATCTCACTACCCTTCCCCTCTCCTAGTAATAGTAATTCTTCTGCAGGAGAGTTGTAAGACTTCTCTCAGAAATATACAGCATTGCATTCTGGAGTTCATCTCCAAATGTCTTGGTGCTTGGGACATAGCTGTTTCCACAAACAAGTATGATTTCCATCTCGGGTTCAAGAGGCAAAAGCAAGCTGTTCCAAGGGGGTGCTGTGCCCCTACCTTACTATCCAAGAACAAGACTGTCAGTAGACAAATGGCCCCATATTCCACAATATTCTGTCTGTTCATAAAGCAAAGTAGTTAGCACAGGAATGAGACTCATGCACCTCTCTGACCAGTGACCAAAATGAAAGAACACCTCCATTGCTACCCACACAACTGAGTTATATAATGTTGGGTCAGTGCTTATAAGTCTCCCGGGTTTCAGCACAGTGGAAGGAGGCAGCAGAAGAGAACAGAGAGCTCTGTTCTCTAGTGAGTTCCAGCCAACAGTGAATAACTAGCCCAGTAGCTGTGAGGCCTAGAATTTATTGGTGGCTAGCATTGGCCAGATGCCTGCAGGCAGCTTCCTAAGCATCATCTTCTACCCTTCACGCTGCTCCATGAGCCAGGAATAACCAGCATCTCCATGTTTAAGGACCCACTTCTATTCAAAGATCAAATCCAACTCATCCAAAGTCACATGGACAGTCACCAATGGACTGATTCAGAATCCATGAGTTAGTATAGAAAACCTCCTTCCCAAACTCACTCCATGAATATGGTCATGTTGACCATTTCCTTCTAGGTGCCTCCAGTTTGACTCGGGCTTCC